GGTGATTTATTTCTCTTTTTCCCTACCAATCTATTTATAGTTATGTTTGCTGAATCTATGCATGTTACATAGCTAATCCCAGTCCTGCAAAAAGGTGGAGCTTGTCGCAGGGAGATGACACATGTAAAACATACAAGTGCAATCTTATGAGCTGTCTGAAACATATAGTTGATGGAGATGAACGTTGAGAAAAGTATATTGATTTTGTTTGTGTTGAAGGAATTTATGCTCTGATTCTGAATTGTTTATATAATTTGTCTTTATGACTTCCCTAAATAACTTATTCTATCTTACAAGATTGCTAGTTCTTTTTCATTTGAATTCACTGCAGATTGTTGAACTTCTGCCTACAAATAATTTGCCCACCAGTCCTAGGTCTGGGTGAATTTCATGAGTTGCTTTGATGGTTTCGCATGGAAACGAAGGAGAAAAACAGATGAACGAAAAAGAAACGTGAGACTGCAATAATGCTCTATTTTTTATTAAAAAAACGGGGGTAAAAATATACAACGCACACGCCACTGTTCCAACTAATGAAATTTCAAAATTCAAATTTAAACTTACTACACCTACTAATACACGTACAAGCATGAGTGAAATTATACTTAACCAAACCTAATACACCTAAACATGTCACTGAATCAATCCAATACAGTAACTCAAAATTTGCTTCTACATGAACAGTGGGAGTCCAACTGGTGGTAAAACTGCAGTTCTAAAAGTTTCTGCCAACTTCTTCATTTCCAGCATGGTATCACCATTCAACACTCCTCCTTGATATCATTGCTGGAAACACCAAGTCTGAATTGAAGATATTCAAACTTGGCTTTGGACAATGGCTTAGTCATAATATCAGTAACTTGTTCTTCTCCCCGGCAGTGTATCAACTCAACCTCACGATCTTGCTCAGCTTACCTTACTGCATGGAATTTTATCTTAATATGCTTTGTACGGCCATGATGAACTGGGTTTTTGGCCATAGCAACAGTGGACAGATTATCACAAAAAATCACAGTAGTCTATTTCTGAGCTTACTTTAGATCATTCAAAATCTTCTTAAGCCAAATGGCTTGATTCACAGCTGAAGTAGCAGAAATATATTCTGCTTCTGCAATTGACTGAGCTATTGATTCCTGCTTCTTAGACATCCAACACACAACACCTGAATTCAGAAAAAACACATAGTCGAATGTACTCTTCATATCATCAATCAATCCAACCCAATCACTGTCAGAATGTCCCACAAGCTGGAAATTTTCAGACTTCCTAAACCACACACCAAGTCCAGGATTACCTTTAATATACCCGAGCACCCTCTTGGCTGCCCTGAAATGGTTTTCACTTGGATTACTCATAAACCTAGAGATGAGACTTATTGCAAACATTAAGTCAGGCCTGGTTGCTATTAGATACAACAAACAACATATTAACTTTTGTATAAACTCTTATCTACCTTTATAGCCCCATCTTTTTTTGCTCAATTTCTGAGTTGCAACCAACGGTTTATTGACAAATTTACATTTATCCATGCCAAATTGTTTAAGAACCTCCACAACATACCTCCTTTGATTAGCAAATATGCCACATGAAGCTTGATTAATCTCCATACTGAGGAAGTAAGACATTTTCCCAAGGTCTGTCATTTCAAATTCACAATGCATGGCTTCCTTAAACTCATTCAACTTACTTAGACTGCTTCCGATAATGAGAAGATCATCAACATATAGTGAGACAATAATCAGTTCACCCTCCACCTCTCTTACATATAATGTGTGTTCATTGGGACTTCTCAAATAACCCAAGCTGCTCAAATATTCATTGATCCTGCTATACCAGGCTCTAGGAGCTTGTTTTAGTCCATATAAAGCCTTCCTCAAGAGATACACTTCATTCTCTTGGCCCTTAACGTGGTACCCATCCGGTTGCTCAACATAAATCTTTTCATTGAGCCATCCATTCAAAAATGCAGACTTGGCATCCAGTTGGAATATTTTCCACCCAAATTGTGCAGCCAAAGCAAGTAACAGTCTGATTGTGTCAAGCCTTGCCACCGATGCAAATGTATCTTGGAAATCAAATCCATATTATTGAGCAAATCCCTTAACAACCAACCTTGCTTTGTGCTTATGAACTGAACCATCAGGATTAAAATTTTTCTTGAAAATCCACTTGACTTGAATCACTTTTCTATCCCTTGGTCTATCCACAAGCTTCCAGGTCCGATTTTTCTCTATCATTGCTAACTCCTCCTGCATAACAACTCTCCAAGCTTCAAATTTTGTTGCTTCAGTGAAGCTTGTTGGTTCAAGTGCAGCCATATTATACCTCTCATATACCTCAGCCAATGATCGAGTACCTCTAATCGGGAGCTCTTCTTCAGTTTCACTTCCATCTTCCTTAACAACTTCATCACTAATAGCATTAGTTTGTTGTGGACTTTCTCCTTCATCAACTTTGTTCTCTTCCCAATTCCAAACACCTTTCTCATCAACCTTTAAGTCTCTAGTGATATGGATCTTCTTGGTTTCTGGATTATACGCTCTATATGCCTTAGAATGATTACTATATCCACTAAAAATTCCTATAGTTGCTTTGTCATCCAACTTCCTCATTTTGACTACTAGAACCAAGACATAACAAATGCTGCTAAAGACCCTTGAATGATCCACAGTAGGTTTGATCCCATACCAAGCTTCATAAGGGGTTTGGTTGATCAAGACTTTTGTGGGAAGTCTATTAAGCAAATAGACTGAAGTGTTTACAGCTTCTGCCCAAAAACATTTTGGTAGTTTCTTCTCAGCCAACATGCATCTCGCCAACTCCACAATGATTCTATTTCTTCTTTCACTTACTCCATTCTGTTGTGGAGTATAAGGGCTGCTGAATTGGTGCTTAATTCCTGCCTCTATACAGATGGTTTCAAACTCTTTTGATGTATACTCACTTCCATTGTCACTCCTCACCATTTTGATACTCAAACCAGTTTGGTTTTCAACCAACTGTTTAAACCTCCCAAAAACTCCAACCACTTCATTTTTTTGCTTCAAAAAATACACCCAACACATTCTAGTTTTATCATTAATAAACAAGACAAAATAATTACTCCCATTCAAAGAAGTTGTTTGCATAGGTCCACATACATCCGTGTGGATGAGTTGGAGTTTTTCTACAGCTCTCCAAGTTTGTTTTACGGGAAAGGGAGGTCTGCTCAGCTTGCCAAGTTGACATGCATGGCAAATGGATTTCAGTTCATCAATTTTCAGCATGTTCAGGACTAGCTGTTTGGTCTGTATTTGCTTGAGGCCGTGGTAGTGATAATGGCCAAAACGTTTGTCCCAAATTTCAGATTCATCTAGCTTAGCACTATGAGCTTTGAATTCTGATTTTTTCCAGTCAATGGGAAAGCTTTTTCCCATCATTCTAACTCTCATAAGTTCACTGCCCTCACTATCTAGTATCTTACAAGATTGATCCTGAAAATATAGGACATATTATCTCTCTAACATTTGTCTAACACTAAGTAAACTTTGATTTAATTCAGGAGCATAAAGCACATCAGAAATCAGCTTAATACCTGATTGACTTTGCATAGCCACATCACCTCGCCCTTTGACATCCATAAATTCTCCATTCCCTATCTTGACCTTGGATTGAAACGCCTTGTCCAAGCTGATGAAGCTTTGCAAATTTGGAGTCATGTGATTGGTGCACCCACTATCAATCAACCAGGTTTCATTGCATGGTGAGGCTGTCCCGTAGGATGCCATAAATAATTGCTCAGCGTCCTGCCCTTGCTACACATCTTCAACTATCTTAGCTTGCTGCTGAGAGGATTCCCCTTTATTTTTACAAACTCTCTCTATATGGCCGAATTGTTTGCAGGCTCTACACTGAATTCTTGGTCTAAACCAGCACCTTTTTTCTGAGTGTCCATTTTTCTTACAATAGGAACACGATGGATACTCTTTTATCCCAGCAGATTTGTTCCACTGAACGTTGGCCTTCTCTTTCCCTTTGTTGTCTCCTGCATTTCTCTTATTTCCTCCATGTATAAACTTTTCTTTATGTGTTGCAACCATAGCACCTTCACCTGCGTCTTCTAGCCTTAAAAGCCTCCTTTGCTCTTGAGCTTGTAAGGAATAGACCAGCTCAGTAAGTGTTATTTGAGTCAGGTCTTTAGAATCCCCAACAGAGGAGATTTTAGCCCCAAGCCTTTCAGGTAGACTCAACAACACTTTCTCCACAATTCGTCTATCCGTCAACTCCACCCCAAGCAGTCTAATTTTATTAACCACACTCATTAATCTATCAACATACTCCCTCACCTTCTCAGTTTCTTGCATTCTCAGCAACTCAAATTCTCTTCTCAAGTTCAACACTTGCATGCCTCTTGTTGTATCACTACCCGTATACTCTTCTCTCAACTTATCCCATGCTTCCTTTGGTGTTTCATACGCCATGATCCTTGTGAATACAAGGTCAGTCACTGCTGCATGAATGTGAGAGAGAGCTCTCAGTGCCTTGGTAGCCTCTTCTTCATGAATCCTGATTTGATTCAGGGTGGGATTTGGTTCCAAGTGAGGCAGTTGACGATTCTCTTCCACGTACTGCCACAGACCTTGTCCACGAAGGAATGCTTTCATCTTGACTGCCCACATGTGGTATTGCTCGCCATTAAAAACTGGAGGAGTGAGAGAGGCTGAAGGTTGCGCCATTAAAACTGAATGTTTGGAGTTTTGACAAAGTGAGTGTCGTAATAAGGGTTGAAAGTGAGGAGAATGAAGGTTAATTATCAGGCTCTCTAAGATTTATATATGCTCTGATACCACTTGTTGGTTTTGCATGGAAAAGAAAGAGAAAAACAGATGAACGAAAGAGAAACGTGAGACTGCAATAATGCTATGTTTTTTATTAAAAAAACAGGGGTAAAAATATACAACGCACATGCCACTGTTCCAACTAATGAAATTTCAAAATTCAAATTTAAACTTACTACAACTATTAATACACGTACAAGCATGAGTGAAATTACACTTAACCAAACCTAATACACCTAAACATGTCACTGAATCAATCCAAAACAGTAACTCAAAATCTACTTCTGCATGAACAGTGGGAGTCCAACTGGCAGTAAAATTGCAGTTCAAAAAGTTTCTGCCAACTTCTTCATTTCCAGCATGGTATCACCATTCAACATGCTTCCATTGAATGTCTTTCATCTGACACGCCTTCCCTATGGTGTTAATCTTGTAATGATCAGAGACATATTTTATGATACTGGTGTAGTTGTAGAGCACTTTGTTGGTTCCTAGTACCGCAATTTCAAAGGCAGCCTTCAGGCTAAATGAATTTCCGTAAATAAATGTCATTATATTGAAGGGCTCCTTCACAGTTGCAGAGGCTTCATAATCTCCAAGGCTATTTGGCTAGCAGTGCTATCATGCAAGTTAAAAGTGCCACTTAAAATAAATTTTGAACAACATCTATATTTCTGAATTTATTTGGTGTTTGTTGATATAGGTGTTTTTGGAGAAGAAGAGTTGGTCCTAGTGTGGGTCCAGGTGGACGGTGGATCGGTGGAGTTAGTGTTAAACATTGATTATTCTCTATATTATGAATTCCTCTATTATCTGTTTACTATCATTACGTTGGAACACAATATTGGATGTAATATTCATAATATGAAATTGAGAATCAAAATAAATTAAACAACGAACTTTTAACTTATAACATGTAGTATCTACTGACATTGATACTAGTTTGGTTTTGTAAGAGATCTCACCATATTATTATTGTATAGTATGAAAAACTGACAACGAGGGTGCTACAATTTTATGCAGAGGGGACTGCTAAAAGACTTCATTCCTGGTGCGACGGGTGTTAAGGATATAGCACGATTTTAGGGTTTAGGTCAACATTTGAAATCTTGTGGTGGGGATGATATTCACTACAAGCTTTCCAATCCGCTTCATATATGTTCTAACCCACTTGGTTAGAAATGGTATAATTTCAGGCAAGATTGCCGTCAACACAGTGAGGAAGAGCCATAATTTTTCTGGTGCAAGATTGGGCACAGCAGTATTGTAAGTGGAAAACATTGCAAGCATACATACTTGAAGCTCTAATTGCAAGGGAAAATTGTGAGTGAGGATGTAGATCATGTGAAGAGACAATGCAAACCCAATTGAGTTGGAAGCCATAAAAATGCCGTATGTAACAGCATTCACAGATCCCAAAATAGAACTCCCTACTTTATTTTTGTTGTTGATGCTAGTGCCGTTGTCTTGCCAAACGCCGCCTGGAGGATTCATTCCAGCTTGGAAGGTTGCAGTTGCCACCAAAACTGCGATAATTAATAATGCATTACGGGCTTCACCAGGGGAGTCTCTATCCTTTTTGAACTTGAAGTAGTCCTCCAAATCAGTTGGCCGTTGTTGTAATGGACGTCCATGTCCCTCTGTTGTTGCAGGAGTGTTTACAAAGATTTGATTGTCATTTGTCGATGAAGGAATAATATCTATCTTTCTCATAGCTCTAGCACTGCGAAGGATCTCTTTGATTTCTCTATCCCCAGCTTTGCTTGGGAAAAATCAGTAGCACATCAAGTGCAGTGAGAACGCTTTGGTCTGTTGCGTTTACTTCCAACAGCTGTGGACCAGTTACTCCATTGCCAAATAACAGTTCCATTACCTGCACATTGCTTTTTTCTACTTTTCTTTAAATTCCTGGCTTTCAACTTTCTATTCAAGCAGTAACAGCCACCATTTAATTTCACATTTTTTAGTATACGAATTGTTCTAGTTTGCAAACCGATTCTTTTTAGGGTACCAAATCCTAATTTGTAATTAAAGTCATATAGGTGCAGGTGCTACTTGCAGGGAGGCGTATTCTTTCAAATAACAGATACCAATTGATATTCACAAACTAACTGGCGACATTATGCCGCAGAAACACAAGGACAACGGCAAAGTTTTATTCCACAGGATGATTAATACCTGAGCTCTGTTTTAAAAACCGGACCGGACCGGTTGGTCCAACTGGTTGGACCAGGGCCCGGGGCCTTCTCCAGGCAAGTTCACTCTTTTTAACTATTTAAAGTTTAAAATATAACAAACACACCCCTGATTATTACCATCAGTCCCTGAAGGTTTCAAATCTAGCAAACAAACCCTTTGGACAAATGCAAATCGGCAATGACCTCCCCTTTTCTGGCGACCTTCCACCTTCCCTTACTGTCGGAAACCACCTCTGAGTTCTGACTTTCTTTGGCGCTGTCACGCTTCATCTCCAGCCGCCGGGTGACGTTTCGTCGTCCACCTTCGCCGCGAGATTTTTCTTCCATTTCCCGGCATCGATCGGCCTTCTCTGGCATCGACAAGCTTCCTCAGCCACCGATCTACCTTCTCCCAAGCTCCCTTGCCGTCGTTCACGAAGATCCAGTCATCTCACCAAAACAAGCAACCGCGACCAGTGACTTTACCACCGATCTGCCATTTTCCGACGATGCCTCTACTTGCTAGCTGCCGATTCACCCTCCCCATCATTCGATCTACCCTCCCTGGTGTGTCGCCGCTGGTCTCCCAATCGATGGTCGATTTGCATTTGGCCAGGGTTGTGTTTGCTAGATTTCAAACCTTTAGGGTCTGATGGTAATTATTAGGGGTGTTTTTGTTAGATTTTAAACATGTCAAACCATCGGTTCAACCGGTGGTCCAACCCCTCAGGTACACTGTTTTAAAAACCAGATTGGAGGGCAAACCGCTCTGATGGTCGGTTCACGGTTCAACCGGTTGGACCGGTTGAACCGTGAACCGGCCATCAGAGCGGTTTGCCCTCCGATCCGGTTTTTAAAACAGTGTACCTGAGGGATTAGGTAAAGAAGGTTTATAATTGGTGCTAAATTAGCTGTTTTTAAGTTTGTAAATGACGAATAACTTAACACCAATATTTAGTTACGTTAAGAGCATTGACCTACTAATAAAATAAGTTAAATTTCTTTTCAAAATAATAATAAAAAAAAAACTTAATCTTCTCGATAGAGATTAGTCGAGTTTGACCTCAATTTGATCATGGTTTATAAAATTAAACACATTATTTTAAGAAAATGGTTTTGGAAAGATGTCCAAGCCAACAAAGTTCTGACAATGGCCTTAAATTGTGAAGTCAAATGCGCCCTAATAACGATCTGAAAGAGTGAAGCTGAAAGAACAAGAGGCAAATACATACCAGAAAATGGAATTATCGAAAACAGGATTAAATCTGAGAATATTATATCGTACTTGCCTGGCGTTGTTTCTCAGGTGGCTAAATGCAGCACTGTATTGCCCTGCTCATCTTTCATATTCAAGATGCTTTCCTTCTTCATATCTCTAATCCAGTCCAACAAAACTCTAATCCCTTCAAATTGGTTGTTCTTAACAGCAAGGTGCAGAGCAGTTTCTCTTTGAACAGTCACATATTTGGCACAGTCTGGACAAGCTGACAGCATTTCGCTTATTACATCACCTCTCCCTTTGATAGCTGCGCAATGAAGTGGAGTCTTTTTATCTCTACCTTGCAGAAGACAAAGCGTCGGGTCAACTTTTATCAACTCCCTTACAATCTCTACATACCCATTGGCTGATGCCACATGCATGGAGCTAAAATCATCTTGATTCACTTCTTTAGCGTATTCTGGTTTCAGCCTTATAATCTCCTTCACAAAATGAATATGCCCGTATGCAGAAGCAACATGGAGGGGATTAGCTGCTGAAGAAAGAGCAGCGGTTTGGAGAAACAAGGGATTTCGTAGCAGAAGTTGGTGCAATTTTTGGACATCTCCTGTTAGAGCTGCTTCAAAGAGTTCTCTGTCCATGCTGGTTGAATTTATCAAGCTGTTTTCTCTGGGAATGCTAAACGCAAACGTATTGAAGTGGTCATACAGGGAAAATGTAAAATAATATGACAGATGATACTTGTTTTGTTATTTGTTTATTTCCTTGGTCATACTGTTCAAAGGTTTAACTAAGACTCTACACTGCGCAAAATTAAAGTTGAGACACATGTCAAGCTCTATCATAGCTCTACTTGATGAGTTAGATATAATGTAGAAGGTTTTGAGTATAGGAAAACCTTTCCAAAACCTTTACAACTATCGTTATTTCAATAAGAAACTACTCCACTGTGTAAAACACATTATATGATAACCTATACCGAGTTGAGAATCAAGAAACCCTTGATTGATTGAGAATGCAAAAAATACACAAAGCTGTGAAAAAATAGCAATTCCCTTCGGTTAGATTCTCCCAAGTTTAGCAGACCCTAGCTGCTCTGCCACATAGTACATATAAAATGAATGACAAAGAATAAGGGGGGCTGAGTTCTAGTGGCACTGTAGTAAGCCACCGTTTACTTAAAGCCCAGGTATTGATTCAAGATTGTATTTCTGGGACTGAGAAGTTTCAGCTTCTCGGCTGTCCTGCAACTTTGGTTTCGTCATGGCATCAAGAGTTTGCAAATATGTGTATGATGCACTCCGATTAGATGGAGGAGTTGGATTGCTTATTCGACTGGCAAGGAAGCGACGAATCAGGCCTCTGAGGAATGGGGCCATGGTATCCGGCTCATATTCTAAGTAGTACATGATTCCTCCCATACATGCACAAAATAATGCCACCTGCAACAGTTTGGAAGCACACATTCAGCTTATGAACATAACAAGTTACACTGATTCAACAAACTGAAAACTCTCAATTTCACCATTTAATTACATAAACCATCTTAAGTCAACAAAATATGGGAGGTGTTTCTTAGTCAATGAAGAATTCTCTCAAAGTAAAGGATATACATGAGCATACCTCAGCATTCTTTACATCAGGAATCAGAAGACGGTTTACTAAAATATACCATAATGAATCTCCTGCTCTTGGAAGAACATATAGAGCAAGTTCACCACGTCTAGCTTTCTTCTCTAGTAGTACAGAAAGGGCTGATATTGCACCTGCTATCCAATATACAAGCTTGTGATCTTTTGAGGCGACTTTTCTGTGCACACATATGACTCCCTTCATCACCCAAAAGAATAATTAGAATCTATTCATGCTGGTTTTAAAGAAAGAAAATGACAAGACAGTTACCTGAAACATTCCAACAAATGCAGACAAGAATGTTGTTGAGCGAACAGCTCCTTTAAGAGCAAGCCAACAGGTACGAGCAGGAGCATCCATGAACTAGAGATGCTTCATAATATTAGGGAGGCAAAAGAAAAAATAACAACTAAATTCCAAAAGTGAAATTTGACTAACATACTTAGCTAGAAACCAATACCAATCATCAAAATCAAAATCCAAGAAGAAATCTATCAGATTATACAAATGGCCTTTGTTGTACAGAAATAATGCAAGTTCATACTGCTAGTATAACATGCTATTCATGTCCAACCAACTATGACTTTGGTATAATAACTCAGTAGTGAAATGCTGTACTATCATGTATGAAAGACCAACATATTTATCCAATTATGGAAAGTCCTGATTCAGACAAGGGGCCAGGCCAAGGAATTTACCATGCCTCAATGAAAAAATGGATGAAGCTGATAATGTCTATGATGAAAGTCACGTGAAATAACCATTTTCCTTTCTTAGGCAATGCTGTTAACAAGAGGCATTCTTTGACACATCATGAGCTTTAACCATGTCAAGCTTATTCAACACATGTTTCAATCTTTTGGAAGAGTTGCAGAGGACAGAAGAAAAGACGGCTGTCTTGTAGTGGAGGTAGATTTGTGGTTGGAGTGTATTCAAGATAGGTGTTACAATACCCACACAAAATTCTTCATTCATCGTGCATGGTTTTGTCATTTACATTTGTCTTAAAAGTGGAAGCATAAGAAAGCGAAGTTAAAACATGAAACCATGAGCGAAAGGTATACCTTCTGTAGGTGCAGAACAACAAATGGCACAAATGTCAAGGAAAAGTAAAGCGGAAATGTTTTTCTGAATGTAGCTGATGCTGCATTAGCATTGTGAGTCAGACATGAATCTGTGTCTGGATGAATAACAGAGCAAGGAATAATAGAGGGGAACTCTTCCAACTTCACTGGGTTGAACTTCTTTCTACTAGATAAATAAGCTGAAAGAGAGGCAACATCGAATGGACCACCTCGACAGCTATCCCTGACAGCCTTGTAAACAGGTGCTGCAACTGGACCAGTCTTCTGTATAAACTCTTGATATGATTTTGGCAAGCTCTCAGGACGCATGACAAAGGCATACATAACCTAAAAAGAGCCTTTGAATCAGTGAAAGGGGGAAAAAAACACATGAAAGATCAGAGGACGGAATTTTCATATGTGCAAAAGACATGATAAAATTCCAACCACATGTTAAAATTGTAAAGTACCAGGTTTCCTATTTACTATACAAGTAGTGGCATCTAAGACAATATTCTATCCTTAAGTAAGAAATTAGTAAGAAGCAAACATTCCGCATGGAAACAGTTAAATAACTGACTGCAATGAATTTCAAAAAGTTTTCCGTTTCACATCACCAGCCTCTCAACAACTTTCTCACCTCCTATTATCAGATGTTCCACCAGCATCATTCAGTGTAAGTTGATAACGCAAAATAAATCATAAACTTAATTTATTGAGAATAATTTATTGATTGAAAAATATATATCAACTTGAAATTACCTGGGCACAGGCTAGAGCAAAGAGCAAGGAGTCTCCATGTCTCCAATAACTACCCCACAAGTGAAACTTGTTCTTAGACTTAGCAGAATTATATGCACACTGATAACAACAAATACGCAGACATTAAAACCTGAATTCCCAAAACTTGAAACAGGTGACATATGATATAAACTCTCAAATGTACCTGAGCCACTCTAGCCAAAAGATAAAGAGCAAGCGTTCGTCTCCTATTCGAATCATCTAAAGCTAAAACCGACAAACCAGCAATTGAACCTGCTAAAAATCTGCTCCAATCATATATCCCTTTAAATGAACCCAACAAAACCACAACCAAATCAAACCAAAAGATAATATGAACGAAAAAAACTTACGAATTAACCGGTGTCTCCTTGTTTCTGAACTTTCTCAACAAACACCTAAGCGCATGATAAGATCCAGTAAACCCACCAAACAGTAAACCTATTCTACAAGCTTCTTCTCGCACAATCAAATCTTTCTCTGACACAAGTTGCTGTAATCAACCAAAACAAAACAGAAAATTCAAATTTTCACACAAATTGTAATCAAAATTCAAATTCATGAAAGGCACATTAAGAGAAATTCTTACTTTGAGATCGAGAATGGAAGAATAAGACTGGCGACGCGCGAGCTTGAAAGCGCGTAGTAGAATTCCAATCCCAACTCTCACGCCGTACGAAAGAAGAAAGCTTTGGCAGAGATTACCGATGGCGTTTGCAACACAAGACTCGTCAGACGCGTGATGACACGGAGGCTTGGAGCCATCAGCGCGCGAGCGTTCTCGGCGTTGAAGTTCTTCTATAGCCTCGCGAAGCCGCTCCTCGGCGTCACGCAAACGGCGCTCCGCTTCGGTATCGGGGATTTTGTGGACAGATGACATTGAGATTTGGTGACTGGATGGGAGTGATATTGAGAGGAGGGATTTGGCATCTGCAAATTGTGACTATAATGACTTTGTTTTAACTTATAAGACAGTATAAGACGTAATAAATGGCAACAAAAACAAAGTTCTCCGTTCGCGGAAGTGTTTTTTCTGATTTGGTTTTGGAGCAGTGCCAGCTGATGATAAAGTCTTAAAGTTATTTGAATATTTCGTTGGGAAGGTCATTAACGTAATTTTCAATGACAATAGAATTCTGTCTTTTAAAATAGTTTTGAAAAATAATACTGAACCTGTATTTCAATATTATAAATACGATAATACAATGACCTATATTATAATATTATTTTAGAAATTAATTTTTGAATATTAAATATACTTGTTTTTAAATTGAATAAAGAGTGATGTATCTGAAAATTAGAGGTTATGGTAAACTTTAAAATCAGGTTGAGTAACTTGTACTTGATGTAATTTACTCAGATTGTGACAAAGATTCATCCACTACAGCCCCATTACACAATGGTTTTTAGCCGTTGGATTGGATTTTCTTTTAGTTGAGTAACTTGTGCTTCAAGTATTTATATATTTGCTTTGCTCGTATTATTATTAAGAATAAAAGAGATTAGAAACCTGTTGAAAAATCATGTAAATATAATATCACTTAAGAAACACTGACATCACATCAAAACTAAATTTTGTTTCCACTGTCGGAATTTTGGTCTTGCCATTGCTTGTTATACATGGTTGCTTCATCAGCCAAGTTTTTGAGCTTCTTGAAATCCTCAGTTTGCCTGAAGAGTATGACACCAACCACTGTCAAAAACACTCCTGCCTTGCACACCAAATTCCCAGTTTGTCCAACTACATCTAGCCCCGTCAATGCGTCTACAATGTATGCCATGAAGAATCCCACCATAGCAGCTCGACCTGTCATATAAATTTTATTAATAAAATTATGATATTGCTACTTTAAGACAAAAGTACGAAGAGGCTTTCAGAGTAGAATTCTGACCATTGAGTAGCTCAGCCTCTGGGGGATGTGATCTCCTCAGCCATGCCCACCAAGGTATGATGGAGCTCCTAAACAGTACTGTTCTTGGTTGGTAGCTGATTCTGGGTACATTTCAAGAAGCCTTCTCCTTTTTGCTTCTACAAGAGATCCGCACATAATAATTACTTAGCAATTTAGATTACTAGTATTGAAGTGTCTTTCTCTATGAAGAAACAAGTTTAGCATCTACTCAAAGAAATTCTCTTAAGCAAAAGTAATCTTGTTGGATGATAAGGCACTTACCTGCAACAATCAATCCATCTTGCCGTCCTTAACAAACATATTTAATTCTTCCAAAGCTCATTCATGAATTTAGGAGCCGAAGATTCTGTCTCCGAACCATGCTTTAATTCATCTTCAACATCCTTTGACTTACCCGTTTGTAAAGAAGACGTCTCTTGTTGTTCAACTATGTCTAAACTTTTTTGGCCCTCCACATTTAAAGTAACTACATTTGACACCTGCTTTGTTCCAACAGAGCGGGCAGGTCTTATTTGAGGCTGTTGTTTCTTAGTTACATGGTTAGAGCTGCCGGCTCTTTGCAGTGAAGCAGAAATGGCAACGGTAGCCATGATCGTTTCAACAGAATTCTTTGTTTACTTCTTTTCTATTTCTTTCTATATTGTTCTTTTTTGTTATGATGGAAGAACAAAAAGCAGAGAAGGCCCATACTTGACAATAAATAAGATTATCTTCTCTTCCCGTTTTTTGTCAGTAAAGTTATGGGAAGCTGGCGAGATCAAGTACGTTGCATTTTGAGAGTTCACCAAGACAATCATCTCTTGTCCCAAATAATTATGGATAGATTCACTGAAGAACATTAGAGTCACCGCAAATTACCAGGATTTTGAGAAATCCCGTCAATTTGGAGTTTTTACTAATTGATAAATGTACCGATTGCGAAGGCTTCATTAAAATAATCATATTAGCCCAAACACTGACATAATCTAAGACGGTGTATTAATCATTTCAAATATCCTTTGAAATGTTGATGTGCATAATAGTACTTCGATTTATGACTTTTAGTTCCAATATCCGTCAACAAAACGATATGCAGCAATAGCAAAACTGATACTGATAAAATCTTTAAAAAAAATATTGTTGCTAAGAGCCAAATGTTTCATATAACAATTCAATCCCCCCAAAGAATAGACTTACATCTGTTAAAAGTTCAAAAATTCTGGAAAGACAAATAAATAAAACTTGGCGGGAGGTAAGAATGGCTTCCAAGCTGCCTTCTTATGCTATGGCTGGAGACAGCTCAAAAGATCAAAGAGAAAAGAAAGAATTGTAGAAAAACATTTATGCCTCCCAACCCCTCAATAGGGTGGCACGTGCAACTCGATTCACCCCAAGTGTAAAGGCACCCATTCGGAGATTGCAATTGTGTGTCTGGCACATGCCCTTGATGTTATGAAAAGCTTTAATCATATACCTCCGAAGCTCATTGTTCACCTTATCTTCTTCCCACATGAAACCTTGAATATTCTGCAAGATTGCACAAAATCCTAACCATGTTAGCCTTCTCAAAAAATAAAAAATAAATTATAATAATGAATCAGTTCATCTTCTGACATGAATCTTGGGCTCCCAGCCATCTATGTTTTAGTTTACAAGAACTGCTTATCAAATTTAGCTCTGTCTCTGTCGATAACACAAGTGATTGAATGTCCAAAGACAATGTGAACAGTGTAGAGACCAAAACTAAAACAACTTTTGCATCAGATGAAAAACAGAGATATTTAGCAATCAGAGTTGAGGATTTCATCTGACACATTATTTATTGTAATACTATCTTGCAAACATCAAAAGGTTGAAAGAGCTTTAATTTTATTACCTGAACCCACTCAAAATAGCTAACTGTTACACCTCCAGAATTTGCATAGATGTCAGGAAGTATTACAACTCCTCTCTTGGATAGTATCTGCAATATCAAAATCTCATTACTAAACCCTCCAAAACATTTCTCACAGAAAAAAGAAGAAACCAGTACTGCACTAAACCCTCCAAAACATTTCTCACAGAAAAAAGAAGAAACCAGTACTGCAATGTTACCTCATCTGCTTCTGGATCAGTAGGATGGTTTGCTGCCTCTATTATGAACTTGGCCTTTACATCAGCAGCATTTTCCCTTTAATGGAAAAACATAGAGATTAAGGCAACTCAGTTGGAATAAATTAGATTAGAAAAGCTAAGAAATCTTTTATTATAATAAACAAAGAAAGCTCATGTCATGTGCAACCGGCAATATGTTAAACTAACTAATTTGCTGAAGTGGAAAGACACTTCAATCATGAAATTTTCTCAAAAGTAACATAAATTAGGTTAGTCATTTAAAATCTGCATAATAGTAAATATATAGCAGCAACAATAAGATTCAACCTTTGCCAATATAAAGTGGCAGTTTGACTTTATAGCAAATTTTAGAATAATTGAAGCTGTCAAAAGTACAATGATCTGATAACAAAACATGCAGAAAGTAACAAACAGAGATCGAAAAAAACGAACAAATTTCTTGGCAAAAGGGGCCTAACCTGTTCAGAACTCCACCTAAAGCACAAGGGATGAGAACATCACATTCATGGACAAGAAGCTCACTAGGATCCATGGGATCTCCACCGTGAAAATCCTTCAAACTACCGGTACTTTCTTTATGCCTGAGCAATTCAGGAATATCTATTCCATTTGCGTTCTTAACTGCACCAGTTATGTCACTGACTGCGATGATCTTACCACCTCTCTCATGAATGAGCCTTCCTGCCCAAGAACCCACATTACCAAATCCCTGCAAAATTAATAAGATAAAATTTTCAATAAAATAAGTTAAGTTTCCTCAAACAACTCATTTTAACTCACGTATAAACTGAAACTCAAATGTAAGGTAACTCTACCTGAATTGCAAAAGTCATATCCCTTATTGCATTCCCGTGTTCAGCAAGTAAAGCTTCTGTTGCAAAAACAACACCACGCCCAGTTGCAGCCTCTCTACCCAATGATCCACCAAGATCCTAAATTCAAAATAAAGGCATGAGATAAGGCAGGAGAGGGATCACATCCAACTCAACGACTAACAGACCAGGACTCAGAAATCTCAGTCCTTAAATACTTACAATGGGCTTTCCAGTGACAACAGCTGGAGAATGACCATGAAATTTCGAGTACTCATCCAAAATCCAAGCCATAGTCTGCACATATATTCAAGAAACAGGCGAGTTAGATAAGTAATTATATTGAAAGTGATAATAAATCAAGAAATGAGAAGAAAAAAAAAAAAGAGGCAGAATATAAGACCTGAGCATTTGTGCCCATATCCGGTGCTGGTATGTCAGCATGGGTTCCTATGAGATCATGGATCTTCTGAGTAAAGACACGAGTTAGACGTTCCAGCTCACTATTACTTAACTCTTTTGGGTTACATCCTATCCCACCCTTTGCTCCGCCATATGGTATGTCCGCCACGGCTGTCTTCCAGGTCATTAGTTGAGCCAGAGCATTAACTTCATCAGGATCAACCTGTCAAAAAAAGTCGAATCTAAAGTAAGAAATTATACGCACTCATGTTTAAATGCAGAAGGCCAGTACAACTACTTTGTTCTGAACATTAATTCAATGACAGAATTGATGGTACTATTGGTAGGAATTTGGGGAAATTGTTCTCTCATTCATTTTTTCTACCTATTTAACATATGTTTATAAATTAAGCTTGGAACAAAATTGCTTCAAGGAAAACTAATCATCCAGCTTCCAGGAAAAAGTAGTTCGAATATGTTCAATTTGCTACATCTATCAAAGGAAACAATGTCACAATAAGAAAAACCAAAAAGGGATTATTGAAGACATGATAAAGCAAAGATATTACAACCAAATAACATTGTAACACCAATATAGAAATAGCATATAACACAAATGTTAAATACTGTGTCTTGAATCCAGAGATACAATTTGTTGATTGAAAAGCATATTTTAAACTCGAAATTAATCTGAAGGGCAAGAGGACAGCATATGTATACGAAATAAAATACATTCACTGTCCTTCAATATCTCAATATTTAAAAAAAAAAAAACTCAAATCGGAATCTAACATCCATAGAGAACCATAACTATATAATATGGATGAATTCAAACCCAAAAAAAAAAAGACAGAAGAGAAAAATTACTGTGCATCATGAAACAGAAACAAAAGCAATGAAAATCTGAGACCTCAGGATGATATCTGATTCCTCCCTTCATGGGTCCACGTGCATTATCATGTTGGACTCTAAATCCAACGTAAGTGACGAGACTTCCATCATCTTTGGGAAGGGTACACTCCACCTGATCATAAAAACCAAGCGCACGTGATGATGTACATAAAAGGAATGAAAAAACAAGCAAATGAAATACACCATCATGAAGTAAAAGCAAAAGAGCACAAACCTTGATCTCTCTAAAAGGGATCAAAAGACTCCGTTCAACCTTAGAGTCCAACCCGAGAATCCGCGCAGCGTTGCGGAAGTTACGGCTGGTGGCAGCAAGAGCATTCATGGCTGTATCTGCCAATGAATGATTAGAAGAAGTGGTGACGGAGAAGGGAAGATTGTGGAAGTACCAAGAATGAATAATGGGGTATGAATAATGGGGTTGGGTTGTTGTAACAAAGAATTGTAGAGGGGAATATATAGGGAAGGTAGATGTGAGTGACTGAGTCAACTAATTATGGAAATAAGTTGAAGAACGGTAATGTTGTTTAAACCCTTTTCTCTTCCCATCCTAGTTGCCAATCTTTACTCTTCAATTACAATCTTACCTTATTCACAATTAATCACGTCGTTTCTGTATTATTAAATTAAAAACAAGTAAATTAGTCGCTTTATTTGTTAATTTTGATTTTAGTAAAATGTTTTTTAAATTAAAATTAGAGAAGAAAACCTTTAAATTTCTCTCAATCAACTCCTAAGTACATTGTTTTCATATATAATAGAAATGAATCAAGCTTTATTAATTTAACAAATTGAAATTTATCGTGGACAATATTTTTAGAAGGGTAATTTAGGAATGAGAAAGGGGCAAAATAGGAGGAGTCAATTAACTCCATCCATTTTAGTTGGAAAGGCCAGAAATCATGGACACTGATTTCCAGGAAAACACAGACGTTCACGTTACATCTTAATGCTCCCAAAAGAAATCTGAGCTGTTGAGTTAAATATTATTTATGAGGTACTTTCCGTTTGAAACTTTTCAATGGATACACTGACAAGGCACCACATCACAGTTCACAGCCAGTAGTTTCAAGTAAATTTGGCAGCTGACGCTAAACTTGACGGCGGCACGAACGTTTCGCTATTCGCCGCGTCCAACCCTATCCAAATGACGTGGAGTGGGTTCTGTTTCCACTTTCCCGCACAATTAAAAAAGGACTGAGAATTATGATAAATTAATTATTCTAATAAGAGATTAGTTAAATTGCTATTTATTAGATAAATATCTGTATATAAACAATTACTATTTATATAGTTATAGATAACAAGAACTGAATTTAATTACCATACAAATTATTTTATAAATAATCGAAATTGCTTAAGCAAGGAATTTATTAGCACAGGTGGCCCATTGCCGCCTCATAGCTACTTTTAGTTGTGATCTTATCCCAATGCAATTTAATTTTGGACAGCTGACGAAATTCTAAACTGTACACATTTAAATGATTACGGAAGTGATGACGTCAAAGCCATTCAAATCTAATTCACATTCAATACACACAGCTTAATTTTATTTACATCCGTCAAATTAATTAATTATTTCTTAACTAGGTCTAGTACAATTAAGCAAGCAAACACTACACGTTTCTCTTACAACTGGCCACACTTCTTGCACTACGAGGCTGCCACCTACCGGCCTCAAACTATAACTAATGGACCTGCAAAATCACTACTCTTCTGTATAAACACACGTTTCAGTTAGGATAAAGAAATCGGACATCTATAGCTATCGAAAAAATTCTGTCCTTTCATGCAAGTCATTAACATATATATATGAATGGACTTAGAAAACAGCTACTTTGTAAATCCTCATATGGAAGCCCCCATGCATTTATCCAAGAATTTTTGGCAGAGCTGAACCAAGGTCTCGGGTTACAACCACAAACTTTATTTATCACAGAAACTGATAGTCAGATTTTGTTTACGGTAACAATTAATCTTTCATTGGCACAATGAATACTAGCAACACAAAGGTATCATCCAATGAAATGATTTGATTTCAAGAATATTTGTGGTTCTGACTTCATTCTAGAAATGTTGACAGCTTCAAACTTTGTAAACATAGAATTAGTGCATATCTCCTCATTCTCACTAACGATGTAAAGAAAACATTGATTACCTCATCAAATATATCTCATCACGAGTAAATGAAATGGGGTGATAGGTCAATTTATCCTTCTTTCCTGTAATAACCAAACTAAAATTGTATCAGAACGTTGATATTGGATGGACCTTCTGAGCAATTACTTTTCTCATTAGGAAAGATGAGAAAAAGAGTTCATTCTACTATATATGGTTCACTGTACATACTTTCTCTTTCTTCGATCAATGCTACTACTCCTCATATCATTTTTTGCGAGAGCAGGTCCTGAGGGAATACCATACTGCATAGGAGAAGGGGCTTGGGGAGGAGGAGCTGTCATAGGGATAGTTGTAGCTGGCAGAGGTGGAGCAGGTGGCAGAGATGGAGCAGCAGCTGGTGGCGCCTCAACAGTTTCAGGAAGAGGTCTCGGTAAAATGTGCTTTAATCGATTGTTTCTATAGTTCTTCCAAAAAAAGAATTGCTGCCTATGTGCCAATTCCTTCAGGTTCCAAGATAAACAAATGATTTTATTACAAGTTGAGAACAAACATAAATGCTTTAATATTAATTATAAGGCGTGCATTTCTTTCAGGGAACATAATGAGACCTACTTTTAATCTCACCCAACTAATTATTTTATACTGTTCAATAATATAAAGAAGATAAATAAATTAAAAAAAAAAAACAAAAACACTTATGGGATGCCAACTAAATGGTCAACCAATGTTAGGATATTCTAGAAACTGCAACAAAAACACCTTGTCAAAGGACATAGATATACCTTCCAACAAAATGCTTGATGAACAATAAAATACATTCAACTAAGCAAACAAGAATAACTCATAAAAACAATCTAGTGAAGTGAAAATGATGAAAAAGAAGTGATAATATGAACTATTGGTCCTAACTAAAAGAACTGAAAATTCCATGGGTTACTTCAAAAAAGTTGTTAAAATAGACCTAAACATCAATGAAGACATATTTGACTTTAAGACGAACACAAAACCACAAAACTTTTAACAGAGAAATAACATGACTTCAAAAGCACACTCAAAGGAGTAGGGAAAAAACAGCAGAATCTGACCTTGTTGCCTGGATGTGCCATTGCATTGCGGAAGTTTGCATTTTGGAGAAGTTCAAGGAAAAAGAGGCAATGAGGATACCTGAAACCGTCCTAGAAGATAAGCACAAGGATAAAAACATAAAAACAACCCAACATCCCAACAGCCCCTCATCCCCTCCAAAAGAAAAATGAAGAAATTAACTAATTGGATAAGCAGAGGCTTATCCCCTTTTAGCCTGGAAATCAATGCAGTTAACACAAGTCTAAAGGTAGTAGAAGCATACTTTCAAGAAATCATCTCACATTATATATTTTGTATACTCTGGTCGTTGCCAGTACTGAAGATATTTCAAGTAGCCAATGAAAGCTTCATCTTCAAAATAGCGGTTTTGAGCCAAATCTGCAGAGAAAATCAAGGACCAAACATCAGGCAGAAATGCAATGGTAGCAACAAATAACAGCAGTGATTATTGACAGAGTGAAGTACTAAAGTTATTTGATATGCATGAGAGTGTGACTATTTGAGTTTATATGCACACATGCACAAACACAGACAACGGTTCATAAGAATAGAAATATACGGTTGAAGCAAAAACTCTCTATCTTGTTACGTGGCAGTAATCAAGGACCCATGCGCCAGCATATATTTACTGAAACATATATGCAAACACCTGGTGCCATATAGGCACACCAAGTGGGACTTGCTCAAAACTCAATGCTTCAGCAACCAATGCTGAAATTAGGGCAATTAAAAGTAATTTAGGTCAGGTCTAATAATTCAAACCCAAATTTTCTATATCAGTTATCTATACACTTTTGCTTGCAGCATATTATTATAATTTAATCATTCGAGATGTTGCAAAAAAAAGATGTGGGCAAATGGGTGTAAAAATAAACTTCAAACTGTTTCATTTATTAAGAAGTAATGAATCATTAACAGCAGATTTAAGAAAAGAAAAAGTAATCCCTAAGATAGTTTCAGATAAATAACGTTAAAAAATCCATAAGAACAACGAGATTGCAAGGTTTAGTAAGCACCCTAAATTGCTATTCAAAGAGCAAATTAAAAGCAAATAGAATAAAAGGTACTCAAATTCAAAAGATGAGTCGAGAAAAAACATACAGTGAATGTAAGTGGGATTAGCAAGACACTGAACGAATTCCAATTCAAGCAAAAATCGCTGTCGCCCATCATCTGGGTCTTTATAAATCTTCTTTGGCCTGAATATCACCACCAAAAATTAAAATAAACAATAATATTAACAATCAAATTTACTAAAGTGTAGGAGAGGAACCAAGCAGACGCTTACGAGGATATAGTGTTCGGTGCATCTTCACCTTCTTTAGAAGCAGCCATTCAGTCCCTCACGAAATGGAGAGCGAGAGAGAGTTGAAAATCCAACAGAGAAGGAGAAGAAAGGATTTGGGCCTACCTCTATCCAGGCCCAGACCAAGCCTAACGTTTAAGATTTTTTATTACTAAAAATGGTAATGTTATTAAAACATTTGATGTTTAACTGTTCGTATTAAAGTTGGATTGTTGATTTACTTTTTTAAATTTGAGTTTGGTCGTGTTAAAGTTTAATTTTAATTTATATCAAGGATGGGGCTATGTACAGCCCTAAAAATACTTTTAAATACACTTTAATTTTCACAGTTTAAAGCATCATATTTTAACTCAATATATTGTCATAATTCTTTTTATTTTCTTCAAATTTTTTGTTTTTTTTTTTTTTTTTGGTACTCTTTAGACAAAGACAAGACCAAAATAAATGAACAATCAGAGAACTATAATCGTAAAAGTAGCCCACCAATTTGGGAAAACATCACTTGATCCACATTAATTCCTTCGAAGTTTAAACTAATCCACAGGGAGAAACTTAAAAATTGAACCATTTGACACCAGTAATTCGTAGATACATTTTTTTTTTTAAACAAAAGAAAAGGTTACTACAATATTTGAATTTCTGCCTCTTCTTATCTCTTTTCAAAGCAAGAAAATGCAGAACTTGAAGCGACCATAAATCTATCATTGCTGCAGGAACTAGGAAAAACCATTTGAGAGGAAGCCAGTTGACTGATGCCACAGGCATATAATGATACAAGTGCTTTCCTCCCTCCAGCTTCTAGGAGTAACTATATGACAATTATCATAAACCACCAGAGAATGGTTTTCTGATGATTGTGGCCAGTACTAACTTAAGATCCACCATTAGTATGGCCTGTACCTCATCGGCCGCCTGAATCTGGGAACCCTCCTGCGAATGTGGAGAAATAAGTGAATTCAGAACATGAACAGCCACAGAAACTGATAAATTTGATTTATATTTTTTGCAGCATGAAACAAGAAATATAAAGGCAAAGCTAGCAGTTTCCAAGCCATCAATCAAAAAACTAAATAAAAAAAAAATTAATCTATTGCACTTCCAGCGGAGATTCAAAATGTTGCTCGAATGAAGCAAATATACAATTCATGACACATACATGCACTAGTTTCTAAATGTGAAGCAGGAAGAAAACGTAAAAGTATAAAGGACCCCTCCAAAGCCCAAAAGCTTTTTCACAGATCCTCAAGACAGATATTGAAAGTCGAATAAATATAAGTTTTAGTGGTAGAGTTAACAAAAATAGAATGAAAAGATAGCTCGTCTGATTTGAATAATTGAATAATGCAAACAAATACATGTGCATAATCACAGAAGCAACAACCAAGATAGACATGAACCTACACGTTCGTGTTTTCGCTTATGTTTGTTAGTCCTCCCACCAAACTAACAGTGTAACGATTTTCTCAGACTTACCCATAACCATATGAAGGAAAAGGAGCACCAGGCATGAAGGGCCTCCGACCTCGGAAACCAAGATATGGGTTGGGCCGCCTTCCACGATACTGTTTCATACCAGGAATGTTGGTTCGCTTTGCAGAAACCTGAAGATAGACCAAACCCAACACTCAATATAAATTAAATTCATACAGTAACTATACGCAAAAAGACAAATTTAAAGACCTTTAACTGACGACCATGCAGCTCTGTTTCATTTAACAGAAGAGCATTCTGAACAGCATCAACTTCAACGAACTCAACATAAGCAAATCCTTTTGGTTGACCAAACTTGTCTGTCAAAATTGTCACCCTGTTGACAGTTCCACAGGACTGAAAATGCTGCTGCACTTCCTCGGGGGTACAAGCATAGTCTACCTAAATTCCATGTACACATACACAGCAAAAGAGTTACTGGTTTCATCTAAAGTGTTGGTTGTCACTCACATAGAAACAACACGAAATATAAAAAGTGTATAAATTATAATGTGACTATCTTATTCAGATTCAATTGACCAAAACCAGATAAAGCAAGCACTAAACTAAATACATGGACTTCACCACCATAGTTGCTGGGGTGGTTTGCAGTTTCCATGGATAAGCAACTTTCTATCAAAAATCACAATGGAATTTCAACACTATAATTGCAGCTATCACGGAATATCTGAAGAGAGGAATTATCAGCAAGGCTAATGAGTTGGAGAAAAGAAATCACTTATCAAGGAAAAAGTTTGAGTTGCACTTGTATTGTCCTACTTAATTTTGCGAAGTTGTTTGAGGTGAACAGTGATATTTGTGGTGTTAGAATTGGCACAGCTCTTTTGCAAGAAGAGCTACCTGAATCTCTTTTCGGTGTAAAATTATGCAGTGAAGGCAAAAAAGAAGCACTTATTAATAGGAGTGTTACGCAATTGTCAAACTTTAAAGCATTAGGAACACTATCTTATACAACACGAGTTCATGTTATATTCATATCATCAGCCTTAAAGTTCATACATCAGTCAAATGCTTTGGGATAAACAGAAGTAGTTCACATTTTAGCAGATACTTTCTTTGAATATATCAATAAAGGATGAATAACACTGTTAACTACAAAGTGAGCTTATTAATTGTTGGAAAATTGAAAAGGAAAAGCTAAATAAAAAATATAAGGCAAGAAACCTCACATTACCAACATAAATCGAGCGGGCGTCCACTTCCTCCTTTTCAGCTTGAGTTGCTGAAGTACTTGAGGGATCTTCATTCATATCCAGGGTTAAAAATTCAACATAAGAAATACTGTTAGCTAGAACTAAAAAGTGTAACAGACAATAAGTAAGGCAAAATTACATGACATTGAGCCAGGTCACATAAGTTTTTCAACATAACAATAAAGCAATATAACAAGTTTGCAGATCTATCCCTTATCCACATCAGTTATTGGCTTTGTCAACAAACATTAATCAAAATATTCTGGAAAACTGGCACAAACCAGATTTCACAGTGAAGGCAACAGCATTAGTAATCAAAATAGTCAGTACATGGAAGCAAATCTAAATTTCACTGCTATCCAGAACATGTTGCCAATAGAAAAAAAAAAAAAAAAATTACAAACATAAGACTTAAAAGTTGCCCACTTTCGTCATTAGGTTACAAAACATCGCCATACTAGTAACATACAGGGTATATCAATAGCTATTGATACAAAACATCTTAAAAATTTTACTTTTTATGACAAGTTTCACTTTCCAGACTACAAGTCCAAAGTTTTCCTTTTTTCAAGTATCAACACCTACAAGTTTGGTAAATTTTCCTCATAAATATATATCAAAAAGTCAACAAATGATTTTGAAAGCTGAATGTGTACAGCGCAAATTATCAACAATGAACTAAACAAATTCATCAAGTCCGAACCCAGATCCAAAAATCAAAATTTATTTAATAAATCAATAAAATCAGAGTAACATAATGCACAAAGAGAGACCTTGGCCAGCTCCCATCTCCTTCTCGACTTTAGCCTGCATTTCACGAAGAGCGCCGGCTTCTTCTTCAATCTCCTTCAGCCTCTTCTTCATGTCCTCCAAATCCTAATTTTGTTTCAAAACTTGAAAAGAATTAAAAAGAAGAAATCTTGCAAAAACTGAATAAAGAAAAAGAAAAGAAAAAACCTTGGAGTTAGAGTTGGGGTCGTCGAGTTCTTGTTCATGGTCGAGATTCTGATCGTCGGTGTCAACGTCGGCGTCCATCTCGTCGGGGATCTCTCCGCCGTATACCTCATGCTCTTGGTCATCGTGTTCGTGTTGGTCTTCCATCTCTATTATTCTTTATTGTGGTGTGTATGGGTTTTGGGAGGTTTTTTAGGTTCTGTTTGAAGGTAGAGATTAGGGATTAGGAGGCGTGGGTGGCTTTGTGATCCAGGGATTGGGGAAGATGGTTATTTTGTAATTTTCTCGAATTTATGGGGTGCTTTTCGATATTTAGATTGCAATGTTTGCCGTTTGAAATTGAAACTATAGTTGATGATATTATTTAGGAAAGGTAGGTTTGGTATTTTTTAAAACTAAAAAAAATAATTTCTAAATTTTCAAACATGTTTTCTTTAACCTATCAATATAAAGAACAATTAATAATTATTTTAGAAAAATCCTACTACGTTACTTTAAAAGTGTAATATGGTTAAAATTTTTCTTTTATTAAAAAAAAAAAAATGTCTTTATTTCTACAGTGGGTATAGATGGTGGGCCTCTTGAAATTGGTGTCTCATATTCACATATTTTGGGTCTATATCATGTGTAAACATTAACCCAGTTTTATAATCCCAGCCCAATTTGGTTTATGTCTTTAGTTATCAGTCTCTTTTGTTTGTTTCAGGCCATTTCATACAGTACATTTAACGCAAACAAGACAAAGTTACTTTGCGAGGTCAGTCTATTATTATTGTCAACTACTTTATTCCATTACAAAATCCCTTTTGGAATTTTATCAAAAATTCCAAATTTTGTTAATCTTGTGACGTGTTTGTATGCACTTTCGGTTGCTGATAGATTTGGTAAAATTAATTTGGGCAAATGAACATAAATTTTACTATAGTCCAAATAGAGTAAAAGTTGGAAGAAGTTTCAAGATCTAATTAAAACCTCCAATACATCTCTGTCTCGACTATTAAAAACGAATAAAAGAAAGAAATCCAACTGTCGAATACAGAGTTTAAAGTTTATCTCCAGAGTCAGGATTCCAAAGACAACACCAGCACAAGGAGACAGCTCTTGCTTAAAAATTTGATAACTACAAAGAATTGTGTAGAATGAATTTGGAGTGTACCATAAGAGCCGAGCGGTATCCCATAAAATTGTTAATCTTATTCAGTAAAACATTTTTATAGTTATAATGTTGAAACCAACTAAATTTATTACTATAAGAAAGTTATAACTTAATAGAGGTGTAGTTACAAGAATTATTGTTTTGATTAAAAAATTATTGTTTTGATTTCTTATTTTATAATTCATGTTTTAGTAATATTAGGATTTCAATTCATTGTTTTAGTATTATTAGGATAATATGGAAATTGATATCAAGGAATCGTTATAAAATTGAGTGATCAGATTCGACAACTTCACTACACTAATCAAATGATATTAATGTTTTTCTTAATTATCCAAATAAACAACAGGTCGTGTATATTTTGACTGAAGAAGAAATCATTATTGAAATTAAACAAGAAGAAGAAAAATACAATCCTGAGGATGGTAGTATGGAAATACCACAAGTTTCATATCAAGAAGCTCTAAACATGTTTGAGAGCTAGAAATATTGTGGCTCAACAAGAAGGTGTCAATGCTAACTACTGATTACATACTTACAAGATAAAATATGTGATAACAATTCTAAAAAATAAATCATTGTCCCAAATAATTTTAGATAAATATTTTATTTCATCTTCAATCTTTAATGTAACATAACATATATTTATTGTAATATACATATAATTATTACTATATAGAGACAAGTTCCTTAAAACGGGTTCTAAAAAAATTATAATTTATTACAATATAAAATTTATTCTTGCTTATAACTGATCTAAGTTGGAAACAAAATTTTCATATATAGAATATTACTATAAAGTGGTTATGTGGTATACGTATTTTCCCACGAAAAAGATGAGGAAAGAATCTTTCATATTATTGAAAGAGTGATACTATGGGTACTAACGGATGGGTACTAATCTGTGTACTAACTAAAGTATAGTATGGATATCATACGCATAGTATAGATACTATGTATAATTTTAACAAAGGTTAGTAAAATCTGTTAATACGCAAAGTATTATTCTTATTGAAATGTCCATCTCAAGGAAGCACAACGTGGTTCCTTCGGTTTGTGCAATATACATCACTATCTAAGCTTTCTAGTTTTGTTTTCCAGCCGTTCAAGAAAAGATTCCACATTTTAATTAACTTATCAGAATGACGATATCCTCTCTAAGTTATCACCGTCTCTAGATTCTGATTGGTCTTCCCTTCTTTCTCCAAGTATATAAGTTTATATATGCCATCTGATCTCGTTCATTCGTAGCAATGGAAGTAAACTTTCGCCATGAAGATTCCACTTTCGCCCCAGAAATTACAACTCTTATTCTTGTGACTCCAGTAACTCTTTTGGCTGGATGCTGGAGATATAGAGTTTACCCTCAGCTTGGAAGAAAGCTTCCTCCAGGAAAACTGGGTTTGCCTATTGTTGGAGAATCTTTAAGCTTCTTCAAGGCACAGAAAAAGAACCTGGTTGCTGAATGGATGAAGAAGTGTACCAATGAGTGTAGACGTAAAAATCTACCTGTACGGAAAGGAGGGTCTGATCCCGTGACGTTGAGGCCACTAGCGATCTGCTGTACCTGCACACGTAGAGAAACACACGCGTGAAGCGAACGGAAAACACCAGGGTGGTGTTTGCCGTAGGCACTCCGACGCTCAAGTCAGCAAGGCTGAAAGGCTTAATATAGTGAGGGCTAGGGAACGAGAAATTACCGGAAGTCTAGTCGGGGACCGTGACTACGGCGAATAAGTGAAACTCTCAAGTAAAGAGTCTCGGGTATGAAGGGGTAATGTTGATGTCCATTGTGAGAGGGCTGGCCTCTGCTTATATAGTGATTGTTTGGTCTCCTAATCCTGGTAGAAGTAGGAGTCCTAGCGTGACTCTGATGTCAACCCTAGAAGAATCAGGGCCGTAACCAGCTGTCTTATCAACATCCGGATAGGAAGTTAACTTTGATTAGGAGAACTCCGAACAGGAAAGTGCCCAGGAATGGGAGGTGAGTTCGTGGGTTCTATACTCGCCCATAGACTTGAGAAATGGGCTGGGATTAGGAGACTCGTGCCCACGTGGTTCGGGCCGGCTACACATTGTACCAAATGGGCTTAACGCGGTAGGGTCATCAGGATTGGGCTTCGCTGCTACTTCGGTGTCACGCCTATTTTCCAATTTGGGCCAAGGACGATTTTTGGCCCTAACAATGAGTATGGACCAATATTCAAGACCTCGCTCATAGGCTCTAATGCCGTTATTATTACTGGCCAAGCAGGTAACAGATTTATATTCAGTGACAGTGATAGTGGCATTGCATGTAACCAACCAGCTTCTGTAAGAGCCATACTTGGAAACAATAGTATCTTTGAGATTTCTGGGCCTCGATCCAAGCTTGTTAAGAGCGCAATTATAAACTCTCTAAGACCTGAAAGCATCTAAAGATATGTATGTGAAATGGATTCACTGATCAAGCAACAATTATTCCTGGTACGTAGTATACAAGAGTCATTAAATTCTGCTGCCTATTTAGAATCCACTAATTTACGCATCTGTTCTTATTTCTTGAAGCCAATTAATCAATTGCTGAAAGTTTACATATATGTATTGATTTCTACATGTAATTATTATAGGAACTCAATGGTATGGAGTCGGTAAAGGTAGCACCCCAGCTGAAGAAAACTGCATTTAAAGTCACTTGCAGTCTCCTCTACGCATTATCAGAAGGAAAGGAAAAAGATGCATTATTAGAGAATTTTGCAATTGCCCTCAAAGGAATACGGTGCGTCCCTTTGAATTTTCCAGGGACCTTGTATAGAAAATCATTGATTGCTCGAGCTAGGATAAGAAATTTGTTTACTCAGTTAATTGCTAGGAGGAGAAGAGAATTGGAAGAAGGGAAAGTGAGTTCTCATGAAGATATTATATCAACTTTAGTCAGTCTGAGAGATGAAGATGGTAAACCCTTGTTAGAGGAAGAAATTATTGATAATCTTATAACTCTAATGATGGCAAGCCATGACACTATTGCAATTCTACTTATCCATTTTGTGAGACTCCGTGCTAGGGATGCCGAAATTTGTGATAAAGTCCTTCAAGGTAATCTAAATTGCCAATTATTACAATTTATATCTAAGGAAGCTGTCAGGAATTTTTTTTTTTTCCCTGTCGATTACATTTGAACTTGGTTGCAATAAACACTTTAAACTTTGATAGAGCAAAAGGAAGTTGTGAAGGCTAGTGAAGGAAGTGGTGGAAAGCTTAGTCGGCGAGAGGTGCAAATGATGAAATACACATGGAGTGTAGCTCAAGAAATCATGAGACTGACTCCTCCAGTTATTGGCAATTTCAGGCGTGCTTGGAGAGACACCAGGTTTGATGGTTTTGATATCCCCAAAAGGATGGCAGGTACGTAATATGTAGAATTAAGAGAGCGATATCTATAACTAAAAGTAGAATTCCTAGCTTGATCCAATTTGTTTATGTATGTAAGTGTAAGGTTTCGAGTGAAAATTCCTGGTGTTGTGGGTAACCTCTGGCACGCATTTGGATGATAAAATATTTGCAGAACCAGAAAAAATTGATCCATCAAGATTCCAGACCCTGACAAAGTCGATGCCTCCATACACCTACATTCCTTTTGGAGCGGGTCAAAGAATTTGTCCTGGGCCTTAATTTGCTAGAGTGGAAGTGCTATTGATAATTCACTATTTGATAACAACTTACAGGTGGACTGAGGAGATTCCAGATGAGCCTATGATAGCAGATCCCATTCCCAACCCTGGCATGGGCCTTCCTGTCAGGCTCTATTCAAGGAACAATATATAAGTTATGAAAAAATATATAGACCTATCATGAAAATAATGTACTTCTGAGGTTCTTAATTATCCTTTCAGATTAGTTAGTATAAAAACACTTCAACCTGTCATCTTTCTTGTGGCAGATCTTGTCTTTTCTCATCATCGTTCACCCCATATTTAATCTGTTATTATACATTCTGGAGAGAGAGAGAGGGCTCCGAATTTTTGTCATATTTCATCATTTTCTTTTTTCCAGAAAAGTAGGGAAAAAAACCGATACCTCTTATTATGATCCTGAATATGATCAAGTTTGAGGAAAGATCAAGCTTCTGTATATCACTTTAATGCTTGGAGTATCTAACCCTGCAACTGGGGTTTTGCCTTTGGTCAAAAGCACTTGTATTCCCCATAGTAGTCAATCCTGCAATTACTTAATTCAATGATTTAGTTTCCAAAACTAAGTTAATTAATCCATGGGAAGTGGTAACTAAATGTTGATATGGGATTCGCACCAGTTAGAGTGATTTGATTAATCTTGATGGAATCAGAACCAATGTGTGCATGATTAAGAATAACCAGTAATGTATGTAAAAATGCAGTAAAATAAGTAACACAAAGAGTTTTAAAGTGGTTCGGCTAGTTAAGATTTTAAGCCTACGTCCATTATTTTTGTATTTACTGTGAGAGTTTACAATAGTATTCCTAGAATAATTCGCTAACCCCTTTCTCATCGTTGAAAGGGGTTTATATACAGACTTTGTATAAAGGAAAAAAACGAAAATAAAAGGATTACAATTAAGATTGAAATGCAACTTCGATATTCCTGCCTTTGAGTGCTGAGATTACGTCAAGATTGTTGTCGATCTGATCCCTTCCAAGATATCTGGGATTTGAGGTTATCTGTGAGCTGATTGAATAATTGTCGAGGTTGGTCGCCACTAGCTTGTGCTCGGTTGAGCTATATCTCGACGAGCTTATGTTGGGTTGGGCAATCGATTAAGCTGAACTGATTCTGGATCGGGCTATAACTGAAAGATGGATGCATGGAAAATCAAGCATATCATACTATAACAAGTATAGTCATAGTTTAAAAAAAAAATTCAATCAAATTGAAATAAGTAAGGTAGAACATGTTACCTTAAGCCCTTAGCAACCTTGGAGCCTCTTAATTTCAAGAGAAATTAAGCAAAAGAGTATCCACACCAAGGGAAGAAGAGATTTGACCAAGAGGGAGATTTAGGGTTCTTAGAGATTTTTTTTCTACACAAAAATTGATATATCATTTTCTTTATATAGGAATCCTTGTAAACAATTCAATAATTATTTTGGACTTCCTTAAACAATTCCATAATTGTTATGAAGTTGTTAAACTTCTTTAAATGATAACATTGGATTAACATTTAATCACAATTAACAATTTAACTCTTAAATTGTTTACATAACAATTTAACCCTTAAATTGTTTACAATTACAACCCCTTGTAAAATCCAATTTAATATAAAGAAAATGATTAATATAAATAACTTTATTACCTTTGGTAGGTGCTAGCCAACCTTGGATAATCAACTCTCTTTGGCTATTTCTTCATTCTCCTTAGTTTTTAGTTGTTGACCTCTTAGGTTCACTGTGGCTTAGCGTGGGCCCAATATCACAATATTTCGATATGTTTTATCATAACTCTTTATGAACAAAACTCTCACTGATTATGGTAGGCATCTAGCAATGCTCCATAACCCCTAAGTCACAATGAAGATATACTCCAACGAACCTTTTTACAATCATACATGTTGTATAATCAAATCCTTCCGTTATCTAATCCCAATTAAGAATGGATTCACGGTATGTAAAATCCTTTCTAATTTTAATACAATACATACGGAACGTGGTCACCATGAAAAACCTTTCATGTAACATTTTATAATCCGGCCGGAGATTTCTCTTTTCCAATGTATCTTGACATTTGTCTAGGAACTTGATATCAATCTATACCAAGTCAACGGATCCCATCTTGACTATCACTTGTCCTCACACATAAACAACACATGGCCAAATCGGCTTATTAACACATGCATGATTAGCCTCATGTTTATACACCATATGAACCATATGCGTTTATGCAGAATCCAACCATGATATCTCAGGTCTAAGGATTAATAATACCCTAGTACGATCTTATGATAAATCATTGACTATATTTTAAATGTTCATGTGATTCATCATAAATGGCCATATTCGATAAACAGTTCACTAACCGCGGTGTCCATGCTAATGCCCTAGTGATATAACTTTTATAATCACCCACACCAATACCATCACATGATATTCTACGGAGGCATTCAGCATGCCTACTATGTAATATTATTGCCCAATTAATATTACTTATGTAGGGAATACTTTGATGATTTTGATCTTCTAAGATTTGTATCATCCGAACATTCACATGTAATACATATATATAAATGAAGCAATAAACCACATGTGAAATAAGAACACTTTCTTTTATTGATAAGATAAAATGTATATACAAACTATATACATTCACATATATATACAAAACATAATGCCTCAGAACCGATGACATGATTGATTCCTAGGGCATACACTAACAAAACTTCCACTTGCACTAGAGCCAATCGTTGTGGTATCTAATACCCATCTTCTCAAGATGATGATCTAATTGCTTCTGTGTCATCGCTTAGTAAGTGGATCAGCTACGTTATCCGCTGAAGGCGTTTTCTGCACCAAAATTTCTCCAGCTTCAACAAGCTCTCTCAAAATATGATATTTACGCTGAATATGTTTTGATTTTGGTGTGCTCTGGTTCTTTTGCTTGTGCAATAGCACCATTATTATCGCAAAACAAGGTTATCGTATAACTCATGTTCGGAACCACGTCAGTCAGCTACAAATTTACGTATCCACATACCTTCTTTTACCACTTCTGAAGCAGTAATATATTCAGCTTCTGTAGGGAGTCGGTAGTGGTCGACTGTTTGGAACTTTTCAACTAACTGCTCCTCCATTACATGTAAAGATGAATCGGATGTAGACTTTCTATCATCCACATCTGATTGAAAATTAGAATCTGAGTATCCCTGGATTTTCAATTCTGAACCTCCATAACTCAGTATTAAATCTTTAGTCCTTCTCAAGTACTAAAGATTGTTTTAACTGCTGACAATGTTTCTCTCTTGGATTTGATTGATATCTCCTCACCATACTTATAGCATAAACTATATCAGGCCTTGTACATAGCATTGCGTACATAAAACTACCCACGGAAGAGCGTAGGGTATATTACGCATCCGCTGTCGCTCCTGATCAATCTTAGGACTCATATCCTTAGAAAGATGTAGTCCATGACCGAAAGGCAAAAAACTCTTTTGGAGTCTTACATGTTGAACTTTTCAACATTTTCTCTATATACATGCTCTGAGATAACCCTATCAATCCTTTCGCTCTATTTCTATAGATGCGAATTCCTAGGAGTAATTTGCTTCTCCCAAATCTTTCATTGAGAAAGCTTTTGACAATCACATCTTAACTTCAGTCATCATGCAATATCATTTCCCATTAATAATATGTCATCTACATATAATGAGGAAAATCATGACATGATCTTTTACCCACTTGTATACACACGGTTCATCCGGATTCTTTATGAAACCAAAAGTTTTGATTGTTTCATCAAATCGGATTCCAGCTTCTGGAAGCTTGCTTTAATCCATAAATAGATCTATGCAATTTGCACACTTTATGTCTCTCAGCATTGGATCAAAACCTTCAGGTTGTTGCATAATATGTTTTCCTCAATAAATCCATTGAGGAACGCGGTCTTGACATCCATTTGCCAAATTTCATAATCAAGTCTGCTGCTATGGCTAGCATGATTCTGATGGATTTAAGCATTGCAACTGGTGAGAAAGTTTCCTCATAATCCAACCCTTGTTTCTGAGTATAACCTTTCGCTACCAGTCTAGCTTATAGGTCTCTACCTTTCCATCTGCGCCAACCTTTCTCTGAAGCCCATTTACAACCAATGGAACTATTCCTTTTGGAGGATCAACAAGTGTCCAAACTTAATTAGTGTACATGGATTCTATTTCAGAATTCATCGCTTCTAGCCATCTTCTAGAATCGACATCTAATATCGCCTCTTCATAAGTTTTAGGATCATCTCCATGATCAACTTCTCCTACTGAAAAAGATTCAAAAACTTTTTCATGTAGAAGCCATAATATCTCTCTGGAGGTCGAGATATTCTAGAAAGTTTATGGGCTGGAACCATTGTGTCATGTGTTGAAGGTTCTTGATCTGGTTCACCTATCTGAGTATGATCGATTTGAGACTCTTCGGAATATTCTTTGAGTTCAACTTTTCTTCCTGCACCTCCTTCATCTAAAATTCTTTCTCAAGAAATGTGCATTTCTACTGATTGAAATTCTTTGATCAGTAGGGACATAAAAATAATATCCTAAACTTTCTTTAGGATAACCTCCAAATCGACCTTTTTCAGATCTTACATCCAACTTATCTGTTTTACAATCTGACATAAGCTGGACAACTCCAGACCTAAATAGTTAAGACTAGGTGGTTTGTCATACCACACTTCATATGGTGTTTTCTGGACTGATTTAGATGGTGCTCTATTTAAATATGCACTGCTGTTTGTAAGGCATACCCCCACAAGTAAATCGGCAAGTCCATAAAAGTCATCATCGATCGCACCATATCCAATAAAGTACGATTTCTCCTTTCAGATACACCATTTTCTTTGTGATATAATCCCATTTCTTTTAGAAAATCTCGAAATTCTGTACTCAAGTATTCACCTCCACGATCTGATCGTAGAATTTTAATACTCTTTCTAATTTTTCTCTACTTCATTCTTAAATTCTTTGAATTTTTCAAAAGATTCTGATTTGTATTTCATTAAATACAAATACTCATACCTGAATAATCATCAATAAAGGTAATAAGTAGTGAAAACCTCCTCTGGCCATTTCATTAAATGGTCCACATGCATCTGTATGTATTAATTCCAGCAATTCTTGGCCCTTTCCCCTTTACTCTTAAAGGTGACTTGATCATTTTTCCTTGAAGACAAGATTCATAGGTTGGATAAGGTTCTAAACCCAATGAACTTAAAAGTCCACTTTCTCCTA